AGCACATGGATATTTTAATTTTATTTTTATAATTTTTCTACACCACAAAATGAATTTTTAAGTTTTTGTATTTATTTAATTCTAAAATACCCTATTTATCTACTTATCTGAGTCGGCGTCGCGTCATCCTTAACATCTCCGAAGTGCTACGTGTCGTCCACTGATTGGTGGCGCTTTCCACATGGCCTGCTGACTGTGTTTGTTGTTCGTGCAATATCACAGAGTTCGGCTCCATCTCGACCGTCCATTCAATACACACTAAAATGTACTACATCCATTCATCATTCCCGACCATCCTAACAACAAGAATCGTCAGTGTTTTTGACCTAATATCTCACTCAATTCTCAACCAAATCACATAGGATTTGGTCCCACATCTTCATCTAAGTGAGATAAACCTATTTATACGGTTAAATACTTATGAAATACAAGTTCTCTTCACAAAGGTCCAAACTGAAGTAAATTTTAGGGATTTTGGGTTATACCTATGCCCAAGAGATGAGGCCTCGATTGGCTTGGTTAGAGATGATCGCCTTTAATCTACAAAACTCTTTGAAGTGTTGGTTTGAGTTGAGGTGTGGCCTATGTATGGTTTCGATCATAAGGTGACTCAAGCTTGGCCAAAGACTAGGTTAGAGTGCTCAGGAGAGGGGCTTTTGATTAAAGAAGTGTTCTTAAGCTCTGGTGAAGCTTAAGAGCAAGTTAATTTAGAGTTTTGGTGGACTTGGTTTTATGGTCGTGAAATGACCTGGATTTAGGTGATGAAATTGAGCTCAAGTAGTGGAAATGGTGAGATTGCACTTAGGAAGACTGAGAGAGGCTCAGGGAGCAATTGGGTAGAGTTTCCCCTAGGTTTTGAATCATCCCCAATTTTGATCGTGGTGGGGGTCATTTATAATTGAGGCTAAAGGGGAGGCATCAGGTTGTCATCGGCTGGCGCAAATAAGCTGAGGTGGAGGGCTGAGCGACGCAATTGACCAAGGAGAAAGAGCCACAAGGGATGGGTCGAATTTGGGGTTTAAGCCATGGGGGCCTCTCTTAGTTTTGGGTTTTTGGGCCACTAGGGGGGCCGGTTAAGCCAGGTGGGGAAGCTAGCTAGCTTAGGGAGGTCGGGGAGGTTTAATTGTAATTAACTTGATGCTTAGGAAGGCTAGTTGCATGGGTTAGAGAGTTAAACAAATTTAGGGGAGGAGTTTCTATAAATCAAGGGACCTTTGGTCCATGGCTCAAAACAAGTCTTGGCTAGAATTGATGTGGCTAACTCACATGCTTAGGATGGGGCTGAGGTGATTAAGATTTAATTAAATTAAAAGAATAGGGAAAAGTTTGGTTTTAGGATTAAAATGGGGTTTGGGCTTGGATTTAGAGCAATTGATGGTCCCATTTGGCCTAGAAGAATGTCATGAGGAATTTGGGAATTAATTTTTGTGGAATTGGAATGATCATGGCTCAATTTAATGGAATTTAGAATTGGGTTCAATTTTGGGTAGTTGGCTTAGGCTTAGATTTGGGTTTGAAATTGGATGGAATTAGGCTTGTATTTGATTCAAATTGGACTTGACTATGATGATATTTAATTTAGATTTGAAATTGAGTGAGTTTAGAATGAAATTGGGGGAAATTGGGAGTCATTTAGGGACTTTAGGGATTTAAAGGTATTTTGGGAATTTCGGCCAATTTTGGTGGATTTGGGGTGCAATTGGGAGATTTAGGTGACTAGAATTGGTTTTGATGAAGTTTGGAATGATTTTGAGGAATTTGGCAAATTTTAGGGCATTAGGGGTATTTTAGCAAATTTAGGTGGTGTAGGGGTATTTTGATAGTTCTTAGAATTTTTGGAGGTATTTGGGTAATTGGGGTAATTTAAAGTAGTTCAATATGGCTTTTGGTGAAGAATTGGGGGTTTGGGTGATTTTGGAGATTTAAGGCTTTCAGGGGCATTTTGGTAAATTTGGGGAAAAGTAGGGTAGGAGGCCAAAGTGGGATGTCTTAATGAGATTGAGATTGATGGCCATTCAATTTATGTATAATCCTCCCCTAAAATCATAAGACCCATGGGGAAGCTCATTTTGGATCCTCCGCATGTTGGTCCTAGCCACCCTAGCCAAAGACTAAGGGCTTGGGGCCACCCATATGAGTTCTCAAAAAGAACTGGGAGATAGGTTAGGTATAAATGATTTTCGGGTTTAAGTGTGTGTGTAGGTTGTGACCAAGACAAGTCACCTAGGTTTGCCCTAAGGTCTCACTGATCCTATTGGAACTCACTATTGTGTCTTCTCATGTTAGTCTTCGCCATCCCATGTGAGGAATGAGGGCTTAGCACCACACATGTGAGACTTCACAAGAAGCGTCAAGAAGTGTTTATAAGTTTTATGTGGGAGGGTTCCATTACTAGTCCTCTAAGATAGTCAATAGGAAAGTCCTACGACTAGATCCCAGGCTTCTAAAGAGGAGAAATTAGACCTCATAAAAAATGAGGTCAACAAGTAATAACATAAGTTCTCATCTTTTGTTTCATTCGTCACTCACTAGGAGTGAAGGTGAGGTTGTAGCATGCTATGTCTACTAGTATCCCTGACATTTATGCAGCTGGTCAGACAAAATCATCTTTGTGCTCAGAAAGCTCTAAATCAGTGTATCTTTCATCCATACATCAAAAGCTTCACTTATCAAAAAAGTTTACCATGTTCTTTGTCGACTGCAAGAATTTTAAGGGTGGTTTTACTAGTCTCGATGATATGTACAATACTTCTTTGTATCCAAGAGGAAGGCTATGGTCATCATTGGGGGAGCTCTCTTGAAACAATCCTTATTTTGAATGGACTCAACTATCTCGACCATGGATACCCTCAATAAGGTTCTCTTTGGCGTATCATTATGGGGTAGCAGTCACTCATTGTATCGAGTCGGTCGCTGGCTAGGATATTGGGCCTAACCTCATTAGTTGTAACTTATGTCAATCTCCCTATTGTCTTAAGGTGGTCGATTGTCTTTATAGTGCAAGTGAGGAGATGGCTTGCTCCAACTACTCAGTTAGGGTTTCTGATCGCTGCAAACCCAAAACTTGCTAAAATGACCCTTCCTTCAGCTATTGGGCCAGGGCAGTGTGTGCAACTACAAGTTTTAGATCCCGTACCTCCAACACCTCCTTCTAGAATTGAGTGACAAATGAGCGGAGGATCTAGTTATGCCCCAATCTTATTTAGAACAAGGCTTGTAAACTCTTTTTGGCCTTATGGGAGCTGGATAACTATGCCACAAATATCCTCTTAAAATAAACAAATAAAGTGATCGCTTCAGGTGATAATTCATTGAACCACTCGAGGGTCGGCTCGCTCAGCATGGTGAAGAACATGAAACACTTCAATGCAACTATAATCTTCAAAAACAGACGATTGATTCAAAGGAGGCTATGTGGTCAGCTGAATTAGTTCGACCCTTATATAACTTTAGAGCAAAAATTTTGAACTTTTTGATGCTCATCTTCAAAAATTTACTGATATAATGTGTTCTTAAGCTTGAGAGGTGCCTCGGTTTTCTCAAATCATTGTTTTTTTATAGATGCCAACCCAACACTATCCAAGTGCTAGGAATCTCCGACCCTTTCTCCACGCAAAGGTACCTTTTGGTTGTTGAACATCGATGCTTCTTGTATGTGGTTTGCTCCCTTCCCCAAGCCAATGCCTGCTTTAGGCGCTCATCATTTCGTCCTTCTTCTCTTGAATTTGTTATTGCATAAACTCCCTAGTGCACTCCATATTGGTGATATCTCTGCTGTGGACTTCTTCGCCTTATGTTACTCTTCTTATTGTGGAAATGATCGACAATCACCACACTTTATAGGAATTTGGATCTTGATTTATACATTAATCATACAAAGGAAATATAGTGTAAGTCAAATAAGAGAGAGGGAGAGAGAGAAGTGCATAGTAATGAACAATAATTTAAATTGTTGATTTGTCTTTTCTAAGAAAATGATTCTCCTATTTTATAAAGGAGGGGATAGAATATATGAAGTTACACATATGCCACAACTTTATTGGGTGCGTTATATGATATTTAGATATTTTACATATCTAGACTTTCAGTTCAACCACCCTATAACTCGGTGGGCTAGAGTTTAATGGTTCTAGTTCGACAAGACCTACTCATTCACCTTGTTGAATTGGGGTTATAAGTTGGCCTTAATGAACTTCAGGTCGTGAGACTCGATTTGGTTGGCTTGGTTCTGTCGCCTGGATTTACTAGTATGGTTATGAACTACTAATCTCTGGATAGAAAACTACTATCGTCAGAGCAAGGCTAAGTTATCGGGCAAGAGGTGAATCACTGTAATCCAACATGTAGCATACGCCTTGACGTGACGATCATTCAGTGATGTTCCATGTAATTATATGATGATTAGTTCTTGGTCCCAAACGAGGAATCTCAGGGGCTTCTATGAGTTAGCTGAGATGTTGGATGCTGTATTGTTCCCTTATATTAGGTTATGGTGAGAGGTAGATCAATGGCTCGACTACGCTTAATAGGGTTTATTTTTTGGCTCAGATGGAGCTTGGTTAACATTCAACCCCGGCTAAGCGAGGTTAAACCTGGTCATGGATGTCTTTCAATATTTTGCTAGTCCATGCTTTTCTTTCTGATGTCGCCCCTTAGTCTTCTACAAATTGACATTTGGTATTCTGCTTGTGAGTCATTGGTCTTTCACATGTGGGTCTTCCTTAGCTGTAATCCTTTGTACTTTTATCCGCTTGATTTTCTCGAGATTACTGCAGACATATATTTGATATATAGGTTCAAAATAAAATTATGAATATATATTTATTTTCATGCATATTTTTTATTTTGATATAGTGGTTGAAGAGATAGTTTTTCAGTGCAAGATTGTAAGTTCAAAGAGTATCGGAATATATATATA